TGACTGTATTTGGAGACAGGGTCTTTACAGAGTTCACTGAGTTAAAATAAAGTCATTTGGGTGGTCCTTAATCCAATATGACTGATGTTCTTATAAGAAGAGGAAACGTAAACCCAGACACACATAGAGGAGAGGTGACATGGAGACACAGGGAGAAGACAGCCATTGACAAGCCAAAGAGAGAGATCTCAGAAAAAAACCAACGCTGCCTATACCTTGATCTTGGACTTCCAGCCTCCAGGACTGTGCGAAAATAAATTTCTATTTTTAAGCCACCTCGTCTGTAGTCCTTTGTTATGGAAGTCATGGCAAACTAAAAGAGGGGCTTTTAAAACTCTTTCAAGGTGCCCAGAGGTCTTCACCATCTCCTTTTATGTAAAATAGGCTTATGACACGGAGGAGGGAATTTACTACATGATAAATCTAAAAATAAGTGTGCTATCATTTGCAGTGCTTGTACATTGCCCATCTAGGTGGCGCCCCCTTTGGAAAAAACTCCTTTTGTTTTTTAACCTGGATTATCGAGGTCCACATCACAAATTCCAGAAAATAAAGAGCTCTGGGCAGCTTCTCTCCAGGACAGTATCTGAATACAGCCTACTATAAATTTCCTAATGCTTCACTTATTTTCCCTTCCTGTTGTTTTTAGCACAAATGCACAGTAAACAAACAAAGTCAGGAAGCATTTAAATAAACAGGAAATCTGTGTTACAATGATAATTTTCACCATCTCAGCAATTGTAACATAGAGAGTCAGATTTGAAGACCGTCTTGGACTTGAACCTCGGCCCTTATCCAGGAACCAGTAAAGGGCAGAGAGCTGGTATCTATCATGTAAGGTACTGATTCTCAAATGCTTTGTGACCCAGCACTATGATAAGTTAAAGGAAACCAAGATAATCATCTGGGAATGTAACTCCAATTGCAAGGAAAGTGTTCAGGAGAACAGCTTGGTTTGAAGCAAGATGGATGGTTAACTTAAGTCACCAGATTTTAACCAACTACATATAGTTCCCATTTAACTAGCTGCTTGGGTGCACTGCTGTATGTCCGTTAGGTAACAAAAGCTAAAATCATCTATACTTTGTAATGTTATTGTCAATAACCGTAGGCTAAATGAGATCAAACTTCTGATATCATTTAATCTTCTCAATAACCTGAGGTAGGTACTTTTATTATCCCTATTTTACAGGTGAGGAAACTGAGGCTTAAGGAGGTTGTGCAAATTACAGAAGTTAACAGTAAGCAGCGTAGCTAGGATATGAACCAAGGTTTTTCTGACTAGGAAAATCATATCATTCATGATATACTGACTCCAAAGTCCAAAATGAGAATGATCATTTAAAAAATTAAAATGATGTTTAAAATTACTGATAGCTCTAAAAGTCATGAAAAAATATATATTCAAATACAACTTCAATATTTATCAAGTTATCCCTCATAAAAAGGAAACCTCACAGTAGTCTAGAAAAAAATAGCTTTTAAGAGTTCTTAAATATGTGTGACC